ACCCTGGTCCAGGTTGAAAAAGTATAGTGTTTTCCTGCACATTACTTTAAATGTAGCAAATACAGTTAATGGGCTGTTTTGTAAGTCCAAAGCAAAGTAAACTGCATCATCATAGAAAGCTTGTTTACTAGAAAATACATGATTTTTCCCATGCTTAATGCTTGGCATGGCTTGATAGGAAATGCAAAAAATGCCTGTAAGCTATCCCTTTCATCTTCAAAACATCCTTTGCATAAAACATTCTATTTAATATAACTGATTTAAACTAAACATCTTGCATGTCCTTCTAGTAATTTTACCGCTGATTCAGGCAGCTAAAGGAATGCTGCAGTAATTGCTTACTGTGGAGCTTGCTCTGCAGAAAGCATGTTAAACTGAGTTTTAAATACCTCATTTTTCCCTATCTCAAATTGGTATTTAAGATCTATGCACCATTTGGGCTACCACTTAAGATTCCAGCAGGAATCCAAAACAGATTCAGGATAATTAAGTAACTGAACAATCAAGTTTAGAATTTACACTTTAAAGGGTGCTTACATTTAAAATGCCCCCAAAAGCCTGTGGGACTCCAGTTCTAAAGGAAAATCCAAGTGCCAACTCTGCAAGCATTGGCTAAACTGACTTTATGCATGTCTGGCAAGCACTCAATATTTTCTACATTCCTGTGCCACCTTTAGCACATGCTCAGAGGGAAAGTGTGGGGAACAGTTAGCTAAAAGAAGGTAGTAAAAAAGCAGCAGCCAGGGTTTAAACTCCTCTGCTAGGTTTTTGTTTTTGTTTTTTTTAAATGCAGTGTGCAGCCTTCATCCTAATCTACATTTTTCTAGCCCAGTTAAATTTTGGTACAGATAGGCAAGGAGCCTCAATCTCGATGACTAAATACTGATAAGGAACTGAAATATATCTGGTCCTTTCCCAGTGATTGAGCTAGCACAGGGAGAAGGAGCCAGTAACCAGCTGTCAGTCAATAAGTAAAGTATTCAAATTAAAGCCAAGTCAGCAGTATTTCTTAAAGATGAAGTTTTCTTACATTAGCACTGGGGTCTCAAACTGGGGTTGGGACCCCTCGGGGCGTCACAAGGATATTACATGGGGGGTCGCGAGCTTTCAGTCTCCACCTCAAACCCCGCTTTGCCTCCAGAATTTATAATGGTCTTAAATATGTGTTTTTAATTTTTAAGGGGGGGTCGCACTCAGAGGCTTGCTATGTGAAAGGGGTCACCAGTACAAAAGTTTGAGAACTACTGCATTAGCAGCTAATGAAACAAAAATCACAGACATGGCCATTTTAGATGGTTTACTTTTCCCTGCTACCCTTAAACCTGCCGCCGCCTTCAATAGGAGTAACCATGTGCAAACTACTTTATCACTAGCTAACAGGTGGAAAGACAACACTTAGGAAAGAGACATCCAATTAGAGGTACCTCTTTAAACCTGAACAATTGTGCTCTGAAACTGGAGTCCTGGAGCAGCTGCCTTAAACAGTGAGCTACAACCAATACCAAGTATTGCTCCCCCTCCACAGCTGAGGGCACTCCAAACTGGTGTAAATGAAGATATCAGGTATAGTACAACTAAATTTGTGTGAGTTTGTGAGAGAAGTATTTCATGATATTGGAGGAGACCAGATTTAACTCCAGCCAGTCCAAGTAGTGCTTGGTGTTTTTCTAAAGATTTAGACAGCCCACTTTAAAATGTCCAGTGTTTAAAAGTTCTCTAACCAAACAAAACTAATTTATTAACTTAAGCTGAGGGTTGGTTCAGTCCCCAAAGTATTTTGAAGTAGCCCTTCAAAGCTTTGCAAATATAAATTATCTTCAACTGAGATTACATGGTAGCTGGTACAAGCAAACTAAATATTTTAACACATGTAAATGAATACATTTAGTAGGGTTACCATACGTCCGGATTTTCCCGGACATGTCCGGCTTTTTGGGCTTCAAATCCCCGTCCGGGGGGAAATCCCAAAAAGACGGACATGTCCGGGAAAATCGGGACATGCGGGGCTGAGGGCCGGCACCCCAGGGCCCGAGCTGACCCAGGCTGGAGACGCCGGGGGGGGCCAGACTGGGCTGCACCTCTTCCCCCCACCCCTCCCTTACCTGCTTCAGGCTTCCCGTGAATCAAATGTTCGCAGGAAGCAGGGGAGGGGGCGGAGACTTTGGGGAAGGGGTGGAGTTGGGCTGGGGGCGGGGCCGGGGCCCTGGCCCTGTGGAGTGTCCTCTTTTTGGACACTTGAAGTATGGTAACCCTACATTTAGGAACAAAGCATATAGGCCAGTTGGTCTCCCACAGCTGCTCAAATATCTTCGGATGCAATGACTGAAAAAGATTTTGGAGGTCATGGATAGTTCTGTGAAAACATCCACTCAATGTGCAGCGGCAATCAAAAAAGCTAACAATGCTGGGACTCATTAGGAAAGGCATAGATAAGAAACTGCTGCTATATAAATCAATGGTACACCCACATTGAATACTGTGTGCAGATGTGGTTGCCCTATCTTAAAAAAAGATGTTGGAATTGGAAAAGGTACAGAAAAGGGCAACAAAAATGATTAGGGGTATGGAACAGCTTCCATATGAGGAGAGATTAATAAGATTGGGATTTTCAGCTTGGAAAAAAGCTGACTATTGGGGGGGTAAGTATGATGATGACTGGCATGGAGAAAGTAAATGAGGTGTTATTTACTCATAACCCAACAACTAGAGGTTACTAAATGCAATTAATAGGCAGTACGTTTAAAACAAAGAGAAGCATTTCTTCACACACCACACAGTCAACCTGTGGAACTCTTTGCCAGAGGATGTTGTGAAGGCCAAGCCTTTAAGAGGGTTCAAAAAAGAACTAGATAAATTCATGGAGGATGGTGTTCCTAGCCTCTGTTTGCCAGAAGCTGGGAATGGATCACTTGATGATTACCTGTTCTGTTCATTCCCTCTGAAACACCTGGCATTGGCCACTGTCGGAAGATAGGATACTGGGCTAGATGGACCTTTGGTCTGACCCAGTATGGCTGTTAACAGCTGAACAGGAGGTTCCAGTGCAACACTGCCTAAAAGGGCTGCTGTGATCCTGGGATGCATAAATGGGAACCTCAAGTGTGAATAGGAAGGTTATTTTACCTCTGTATTTGGTGCTGGTGCAACCACTGTTGGACTAGTGTGTCCACAATTCAAAAATTATGTTGATAAACTGGAGAGGGTTCACACAAGAATGACTGAAGGATTACAAAAGCTGTTTTATAGTGACTGAGCTCCTTATAGGTTAACAAAGAAAAGGTTAAGGAGTGATCTGATTAGTGTACAAGTATTTACAGGGGGGAACAAAGATTTAAGGCTCTTCCATCTAGCAGAGAAACGTATAACCATCCAATGGCTGGAAATTGAAGCTAGGCAAATTTGGACTGGAACTAATGTGTACATTTAACAGTGAAAGTAATTAACCAAGTGTCATGGATTTTTAAAATTAAGAGTGGATGTTTTTCTAAAGATATACTCTCAGAATTATTTTGGAAGTGTTAGTGCCTGTGTTTACAGGTTGTCAGGCAAGAAGATTATCACAATGATCCCTTCTGGCCTTGGAAGCTATATGCTTCTGAAGTTTATCACAGTCATCACACTCTGCCATTATTGTTGATTCCTGCAGAAATAGGAGGAGAGAATGATTCCAGGCCCCTATTTTGTTAACTTTTCCCTTGCAAATAACCTGGACTCGTATGTTTCTTTGACGTTTTCTAAAATTACATTCCAGTTGATTTGAGGCTCCAGAGTGAGTGTGAATGTATCATCAATTTTAATCTACCTATATGTAACTACTAAATAGAAGCCTGTAATGCAAATAATAAACACTAAAAGTGTTCTGTAGTGGTAAACTAGGGTTACCATTCGTCCGGATTCTGCCGGACATGTCCAGCTTTGAGTTAAAAATTGCGTCCAGGGGGAATTTGTAAATGTGCAGATTTCCACCCCATGCAGAGCGCGCGCGGCTGACAGGGCAGCCAGCCGAATCGTGCCACTCACACGGGGCTCTGATAGCCAGAACCCCTCCTCCACTTCCCCCTCGTCTCCCCTGCAACTTGAGATCACTCCCCTCCTCCCTGCATTTGCAGATCGCTGGCCGTTCGCATCGGGCCTCCGGCAGTCTGGAGTTCCTCCCCCTACTCCCCCTCCCCTGCTGCAGAGCACGCTGCTCTGCAGCACTCTGTTCTGAGCGGCACGGTAAGGGGACCAGGGGTCGGAGAAGAGGCAGGGAGGTTCTGGAGGGGGCAGTCAAGAGACAGGGAGCAGGGTTGG